ATTTCTTTTTGTACTCTACTAAATTTACAGGCAGAACATGGTCCAGATAGTCAGGTGGTTCTTGTCGTTGCCGGAGATGGAGTGGATATTGATGCTATCCAGGCTGAAGTTAGCAACCAATGTGCTAGCCTTCCCAGAGGAGAGTATGCTTCAAAAGCACTGAGTCATAGCTTTGTTGTGTTTGCCAGAGACATGGTTGAGGTTGGTTCTGAATACCTGTCTTGTGCATGCCACATGGTTTCAACCAGACTAAAGGTTCTAAATCCATTACTTATGCGACGACATATATATACTAAATTAAGTTAACTAGTCTACTTCATAGTGCCTATGGGCTTATTTCTAGGTGCAGTTGAAGTTTCAAGGACATTGCTGAAGCTTTTGGTATTATATTGAAGCTAGTAGTATTGACCTTATCATCTGAAGTGATTGGAAATATGGGCCTGAGCATATTTAGCTTAATACCAAAGTCCTGGCTATCTGCTGGATCTGTATACAATATTGTGCTCTATGCTCTGGGCTGTGGTTTATTTACAGCAGAAGCATCAGTTTACACTGGATTGCTAAATCGTGTAGTTCTAGCTCCTTTTGTTTGCTTGTGAAAGAACCAAAAAACATTGTATTTTGCAGGCAATTTCCTTCTCGAACTTGTATGCTCCTGAGCATTTGATCATCAACGTCAAGGATGCGGAAAGGTGGGAGGGTCTCATTGAGAATGCTGGTAATTTGCTATGGTTATAACCATTGTTTTCAACATGTTAGAGAAAGAAGTTCTGTATTACTCTCTTTGGAGCATATTGGTATTATCACACAGTCCTCCAATCAATTGAAACTCATCTGTTGGAAAGCATCGTTTACAGTTAAAATTTGTTGAGGACAATAAATTCTTTGCTAAAATTGTCTACTAACTTCTGTGGATCACTGCAGGCTCAGTCTTTTTAGGACAATGGACACCGGAGAGCGTTGGTGATTATGCTAGCGGCACCAACCATGTCCTTCCCACATACGGATACGCAAGAATGTACAGTGGGGTGTCACTAAACTCATTTCTCAAATACATAACTGTGCAGTCCTTAACCGAGGAAGGTCTCAAAAACATTGGACCGCATGTAGCAAAGATGGCAGAAGTCGAAGGGCTGGAGGCTCACAAGAGAGCTGTTACCCTTCGGCTGCAGGAAATCGAAGCTGCCCTACCTGCTTAGCTGACATAATGCAGGTCCAAAATGCTCTGGGAACTTATAATATCATAGGCTCCTCCATTTGAGTTTTTGAGTTGGTACGTTGAAGCACAACTTATCTCGGTCAATGTTTGCGTTTCTGAACTGAGCAGGTTGTTTCTTGAAGACCTTTACCATTTTGCATCATTCATAATCTGCTAAAAGGCCAAGCTGTTGGGGGTGGTCTTTCTTCAGTGCCCACAAGCAGCTCAAAGTGGGGGGAGTGCATAAAACAGTCAGCTCATTTTTACGTGCAATAACTACATCCTCAGATACATTCATCATCAGGTTTATGCTTGCAGAACCTAATTAAGTTGTGTTCTCACTGTTGGTGCAACATTTTGAAGTTCACAATCGTTTATCCCAACGAACAAATGGAAAAGACTAGCCAATAACCAAATGGATAGGGTATTGCTGTTCGTATTCACATCATCTTATGTGGCAGAAGACATGCTGTTGAACTTGTGGTATTTGCTACGTAAGCCATCCTTTCATTTTACTGTTCTAATATGCAAGAAACTTTTTTCTGTTTGATATGCAACATTGTTGATTGTTTTAGTCTAAAGTAATATTTGAACTTGTGCAGACCTCGAGTTTCTCATGAAATCATTGTTGTCCTGTATATCTTATTATATGTGTGATTTGTCACATGCTTAAGATTCGAGTCTATGGTTTGTTTATGGAGAAACATCATCGACCAAGAACTCATGTAGGAAAACCACAAAATTCTTGCCCTGGATATTGGATTTAATTGAGAGATAGACATAATTAGTCAAATTTGGTTAGAGGGTTGTGCCCACAGCTAGTAGTTATTAATTTGAGATGTTGGATAGCCAGATCCTCCACTCCTGAAGGCTGCCATGAATCTTTCAACAAGATCAAGAAAATTATTGGATGGGAAGAAAAAAAAAAGATAAGAAAAAGTGGGACACAGCCAAATAAGACAGCTGTTCATAGATTGGGAGCAGACATCGAGATCTCTTGGGGATATGATGATGACTAACAAGAAAACACAAAGTCTTGAATGAAAAAGGGTCTCAGATTGAAGGTCAAACAACCCAATCTAAAAGAGTTATCACAGCAGCTTGCTGTTCTCCATATTAGCTCGTGGCTCTGTGTAAAGTCATAGTAACACCACAAAGCTTTGTTTTATGGGATCATGTTGAGCTCTCCAGAGCAAGTCATTCTAATGTATTGTGTAGCCACGGATTGGAAGATGTATGATCCAAGTTCAAATACAAAAGCATATATATATATATATATATATATCACAAGATGTGCTAACCTTAGGAAAGCAGAGCAGTGGTAGGTGAAAGAAGTTTAATGTACCAGCACAAGTGCCAAAGGTCAGAGAGAAACTCTTCTGATGCTTTGAACTGGTGTTTACTGCAGGCATGGTGTACCTGAAATAA